TGTGACTTCCTCATTAAGGTCAAGTCCGACGCTCTGCTGAAAGCGTAGAAGAAAAAGGCAGTTTTTCACTATGTTTGGGGTAGGCGGTCATTAATGCACAGCACTTATAAGAAAAGAAATTTTACTGGCAAGCAAGATGTCCTGGATTGAATAAGAACTGCAGCTGGCGATGAGGTTCAAAAAGAAATTTAGAACAGACGAAGGACATTGACATTAAGCAGGAAAGAACGTTATAAACATAACTGGTAAGATATGACAATGTGGTAACTTTTTACTTCTGTTCTTTTGCTAAACATTATTTTTTGCTTTGCAGTTCTATTTGGCGTTGTAATATTATCCTTATTTCCTTTATTTTATTGTGGTTTTTATGTATTATGCTAAAAGTTTGATCACTCAAGTTTGGAGTGACTTATCAATGGTTTCTCATCGGGAATTTTCAAGGCTTTCATAGCAGAATAAAGAAGTGGCTACAGTATACAAGAGGTGCTGTGGTCACTCACTACCAACAACAAAAGAAATCATCAAGCAGAGGCTAAAAAAACAAAATTTTCATCGCTTTTCTTTCTTTTTCTTTTTTGTTTGCATTAATGGTGTAAAAATCTATGCAAGTACATCGTACAAAATGTGTCGACAGCTGTAAATTTTTTTGTTTGAAAGGGGGTTAAGCTTCAGCAGCAGCAATTTAAGAATTATCTAAAAAAACTTCTGCACGATTTTATTACTTTATTTGTAATTGTAGTTTAATTTTTTTTCAAAGTACTAGTATGCTATTGCACAAACTTATTTTTTGCTCATTTAACACTGTTTACTGATACATTTAAACGAACTCTGTAGGGCCAATAAAGTTTTCAAATTTGAAGCATAAAGAAACGCTATAATTTAACCGTTTTTATAACTGAGTTAGCAGGTCATGCAAAAACAGTGTTAAAAACAACGAATTTTTGCGACATAAACCAAACAGCTAACAAAATTTAAAGGGTTTTGCTGACAGTAACTCACTATCACTTATTAAAGTATCCATTAAAAATTAAGATCAGAAGAAGCTTCATAAAATTTAGGTACGTAAGTGATTAAAGAACGTAAGTGATTAAAGATTCCTTAAACATTAATCGATGAGGAGTTACAACAGCACCGCCAAATTTTACATCCCATGTGCAGACTCATGCCGTGTAACCGTCTTTACGCTTTATTTTTATCTACATCAATGCATTTCTACAGATTAGCCAAAATAAAAAGTTTTTAAAATCTAAAAAAAAACAGTTTTACAATTTACGCTTCCGTTAGCAAAAGCTTTTTTAACATTTCACCATGCGTAACTAGAAAGTGTGGTTTCAACATTTCTTTTGTCTTGCACTTTCTATTATACAGCAGAGAACTGCAAAACGTTTTTTTCTTTTAACCATTTTTGCTGTCATAAACATATAAAGTGAAAGGCAATAACTAGTTCAACAGAATTTATACATAAACCAATTGCGCTAAAAAGCCTTTCTTTGAAAGAATCTAACCTTAACCTTGTCAATTCTGCACTTTGTTTGTTTTTTAAAAGCTACTTTCACATTTCGCAGTTTTTCAAAACCTTTCTTCCCGATGCAAGTAACAAAGTATAAATCTTTCATACTTTAACCAAATTTTTTAAACTGTTTATTTTCAACTCTCTGTCGGTTTTCTGCCATCACAGAAAATATTATAGGACAACAAGATTGGTGTTCAAAAGCGTTTTTGGAAATACTGCTAATTTTACTGATCATAATCTGTACAGTCATTACCTAGTCTAGTTTTTTTTTTCTTTAAACAACAAACAGGTCACCTTACTGCAGATGTTTGTATCAGAATAAAAAATCAAATTTATTTCTTTATTATGGTCTTTTATCTGATAAATGACAAGGAAGGAGATTATAGACACAGTGGTAGTACCAACCTTGAGCGAAGGTACAAATGGGAACGGATAAAATGCAAACGTGAATTGCATTAGAAATTAGTAATTTAATTACAAATAAATAGAGGTATTGTATTCTTTATTTTTAAAGTATTCTTCAGTTAGAAGTGTTTTTGTCGCCTCAAATTCTAACTGAAGGTTTGAGCAGTTCTGCAGCTACCAGTAACTGTAGCTTGAATCTTTCCCGTAATTTTCTTTCTAATTTCTTATACGTTACTCTTAAATGTCTATAATGCTAAAGTGTCTGTAATGCTACTCTCCAATTTTTTATTAAGCACTTCGGCTGAAAACCATCGTATAACTGCGTTTTACCTTATCAGCAATAGGTTTTCTAAGGTTTACAAACAAGCAATTTTAGTTCTTTATGAGGTGCACAACGTTACGGCAGTGACGTTTTAAATAAAAATAACTTGTTCTCTGTTTATAGCTGACTTTCATTCCCGTTGCCTGTAATTGTTTTAAAGTTTCTCCATTTTATTTCAATTGGCCAACCTCTTAGAATATTAGCTTCGTTAACAGCTACAGTTTCTTAAGTCTATTATTGCTATATTTCTTCACACAACAGTGATTTATAACTAAACATAAATTTATTCTAATAAGTCTCTTACAATTCACAGTTGTCCATTACACACAGAAAAAATTAAAACATACAAAAAAGGTTCGACGATAATGAATCAAAACAAAGCTGTTAAGCTACAGCACAACAAAAACAAAAATAAAGATTAGAAAGTAGGATAATGATTTTGAAAAATTTGCCATCTAGCAGACTTCATAAACTTTCTTTAGCTTTCTGTATTTCTTGTGAAAATTAAAAATAAATTTGAAAACTCAAACTTTTTTGCTTTAGAATTTTCTGAGTTTTTTACTATAAGATCATTGAAATTGATGCAGTGCAGTGCAAGTCTTCGGCGGCATTTACCACGAAGCTGGCGAAAATTAGCAGTACAGCATCCTCAACGAGGAACAATGAACTCTAAACTACTTTTTTTACACAACGATCGACATCTTGTGAAATATTTCCTACTTTTGCAGTAATTGGTTCAAAATAGCAACCTTTCTGTTTTTTTTTTCCTACTTGTATATTTCTTCTGATGAGTGTTTTAAAAAAGCATCAAACGAAATGTTGAATTCAACCGTTCAAATCAGGACGTTACAAGCTACTGATAACTCATTAAGAGTTCTCTAGCTCCCTAGAAGACAGTTAAGCTAACCAAAAAATTTTCAGAAGCTACATACATTTTTTTAGCAAAAGCAGTTAAGACCTGAAAATGCTTGGTATAATGATAACCTTCACCAACTGCTATTTCAGCAAGCACCTAGCTCAGATTGCTTCTTTTTACGGCAACAAATTATATTTCGCTGTTCGACTTTTGTATCTCTTGCTTTCTCACTAGTTCTTGTCATGTAAGCTTTCTTGAAAACTTAATAAATTTTATATTCCTGTTTGTTCAGAAAAAAGTAAACATCTTAGAAAGAAAGTAATATCATTTGAAAACAATAAAAAAAGATTCAGTATATTTATTGTATTAAAGAAACACTCGGAAATTTTATTAAGATAGTTATTTCTCAAATATTTGCATTTATTACAACTTCTAGTTTTTTTTTTATAAGAAGTTTTAACAGCATTTTTTGTGCAGTCTTACTTTCCCGTTAAGTGAAATTACCACTGCCCCGGTATTGGTAAAAAGCTAGAAGATGAGAAATTTTGTTCCAGCAGATTTTTTTCATTATTTCTCAAACCAATTATTTATGTTTATAGACCGATGCGATGCTAAATGTCGATTTTTATACATTCCTGTTTATTGGCATAAAATGAGCTGGCTTGATAAAAAGCTGTACTGGAGAGTTTTTTTAAAGCCGAATTTATTATTATTTGTAGTTGCAATTACTTTGAGGCTATTCCTATGCAGCTTATGGAGCGCCAGTCTTGACAATCCGTTTTCACCATTGTTAAAAAGGAATATTTCTGCTAGAAGAGGTTAGTTCCAACAAAAACCTATTTTGTCAAAAACAAATATTTGAAAGAATGATATAGAGTTACATAGTTTAGCAGTATAGCATACTAGAAAAGAAATTGACTTTAATATATATGAAAACTAGCATGTTTGTATTAAGTCAACAAAACTGTGTATTTTTCAAGAATTGATATTTAAGGCACGTTTAAATTTGCTTTCTAAAATGTACTTCCTTGAAGATGCAACTTTCAATAAATATTTAATATAAAATTAAACGACTTATAAAGAAATATGATTTAAGAAATGTAAAAAACATGCTGTATCTATTTCTAAAATAAGCAATTTTAATAGGTTAGAATTCTGGAATGAAACGCTAACAGAAGAAACTGTTAGTCAGCGATCATTTTTTTGCTAAAATAAAGCTAAATTTCTCAATAAAACTTAGATTTGTATACTTACGAGAAAGAGGAGTTTAGTCATTTTGAACGCAGTTACTCTGTCAAAAAGTGAAGGTTTTAAAAATGCCATGTTTTAAGCGTTTTTTTTGTTAAGCTGACAAATTTTTAACAGCCACATAATAAATTTGTAAAATAATTGTAAATGATAAAAGTTTTAGACAAAAATGGAAAAGATATCGCAGTTGTAACGGTCTTGAAGAATCAGTATAATTTTGATGACTACAAAATAGCGCAAAATTTATTTCACTGCTACGCTCTCTATCACAGATATCGGTGGATTGTCGTCGACGTATCGAAAAATACAACTATGCAGCGTCTATGCTCACAAAAAGATGTAAATTTCAAAAAGCTTAATATTTTTTCCTTCTCTTTACAAATTTGGATCTGAAGTAAAATATTAGTTAAAGATTTCAACAGGAAATTACCGGCTGCAGTAAGCGTACTCGATATGTCAATACTTTTGATACAATACCCTTCATCGCGGACATTATCGAATATTAAACATTAGTTTTTTAGAGTAGAACAATAAGATGTGAATGTTAAGAAGAAATGTTTCAAGTACTTATACTTTAAAAATTTTCAAATCTTTTTAAATCATGAAGTGCAGTTGTTTAGTTTATGTTTCAACGACATTGTGTTCTCGCAGAGTTGATGTCTGATATTTCAAACGAATGGATTTTGTTTATCGATGCTGATATGACAGTAATTAATCCTAATCACCTCATTGAAGAGTGGATTGACGAAGACTACAACTTGCTTTTCTATCTACGAATATTCAACTCTGAAATTGCTGCTGGCAGCTATCTGGTCAGGTAACTCCTCAAACCTGTCATCGATGCTTATCGACAATAGTAACTCTTAAATAAAAAAGTCAAAAGCGTCCTCGAAAAAAGTTAATTTTTTTGAATAAGCTACTAACGTTTTAGGTAACTGTATTACAGGAATACGCCATACTCAAAAAAATTTTTACATCGCTGGGCCAACTACTCTTTTGTTTTGCCAAATTCCTTTCACGGAAGTGACAATGGTGCTCTTCATGTTAGTATTTTCTCGATTTATTCTTCTATTTAATAGCCGGAAATACTACCGCCTTTTCTGTCAATGCATGAAGAGAAGATACAGCTATCTAGTGGAAATTTTTTCCAGGATTAATAGGAGGAAGAATTTATCAATATATCAAGAAGATTTTAATTGCAGAGGATAAAACTTTAACTTTTAAATTTTCTTCTAATTAAGAAGTAAATATATTTTATCATTTTTTCATCTATTAACAGAAATGTTTTAGATTTAGAAGAAAAATTCATTTAAAATTTTAAAATTATTTGCTAACACAAAGACCAACTCAATGATCTCAATTGCACCAGTCACGTTTGGTAATCTTAAATGATTGAAATTTTGAAAAAATCTTCAAGACAATGTCTTTTGAAAAGAAAATAAGAAGACGTTTTAGAGTGTTATACTGAATGAAGTTTTACCATGGAACGAACATGACAAAAAGAAATGTGAAAAATTATGGCAAAAATCCCGGTAAGCCACAACGATAGATCAAAATATTATACAGCGACAGTTTTGCTGTTTAATTGATCATTTCAATGGAATTTACTGTGACTTAAAATTGCTATTTTAGGATACATTTAATTTTTTGAGCAATTTTTTAAATTTTTTATTGTGTAAAGTTGCGAAATCTATGATTAAGCAAAAGCTAGATTTATTAACTAGATTCTCGAATTTATCTAAAAAGTAGCATTTGCAGAAGCTTTTAATGTATTTTAAGATCAGAAGTGTTTGTGACACTGGTGATTTTAATCAAGTCTTATGCGAATAACGTGACAATGTGAATGGTATGCAGTTGAATCAGCACTAAACACCTACAAAATAACTGTGCCAAAAAATCATACGAGTTTTCTAAAAGTCGAAAAGTTGTCTATTAAAGAAATGGATTTAACGAAGACTAAGTTAAAGAACAAAAATTGAGAAAAAAATTATCGATATTGTATTGCGAAAAACCCGTGTTTTTTGCTTTTCAAAATCTTAGCCGTCTTAAAGTTTTTTAAATTTCTTTGCTGTTAATTGCTGCTTTTTTGCTCTAAATTTTTACATAAAAATTTTTCAACCTTTCTTCCACTCTGACTATCTCACACTATTTTCGATCAGTAAATGTATTGTTAAGGTCTATTAAAAGTATGTAAAACACTGTCACGTTGTTCATTGAGCCGCTAAAAGCTTAAACTCTCTTTTCAATTTAAGTCAGTTTCGTTGTTTATGCAATGAGCTTTGAGACTTACCACGAATTTACAAGGTGCGTTAAAGTTTCTTTTCCAATTCCATCGTTTTGAGAAGCACCAATTTTAACGTCTTTACAAAGCGCGAACTTTAGATCGGTATTGTGTCGCTAAACCAAATAAAGATTTACTATTGCTTTTACTTAACTATCTTCTAATTTACGCTTCTATGGAGTAAGGTTAGTGAGAAATTAATAAATTTTTTTTGAGCTGAGTTAAAAAACGTTAATCAAGTTTAGCAGTGTTAGGATTTATGTAAAATTAAGCTTAGCAGGAACTCTGAGAAGTCGTGATTTTTAAGCTATTTGGAAGGTGTCACTGTAGATAGAAAAATAGTTTTAAAAAATTATTTTTTAAAACTTAAAAAGATGAAATCAAATAAAGCTTAACAAAATGAAACTTATGGAGAAACTGTTTTTGACAAGGCATCAGATTTTGAAATTTTTACGCATACTGAAGTAAAACAAAGACATAATTGAAAAATTTTTAAAAAAAAGGCAAATGTTTCACTAAGCGTTTGTTGCTAGAAAATGCAAAAATAAGCTTTTTTTTACTTTGCCCAGTCGTTGTGTAGAAATGTTTCGTCCCCGACCACTTTAAGTTACAGTTGTTTCGAAGACCTTATGCTGTATGAAGCTTGCATACAATATACTTTGGGAGATAAAAAGTCTTGGAAAGGAAAAATTCAAATTTATGAAAAAGGTAAAGCGTGGGTACGAGACACAGAAATCACAGGATCTATGTGGAGCGATCGTGACTTTATATTTCACGGATGGAAGAACAGGTATTTTTTTAGACACAACTATTTAAAAAAAGAAAAAAACAAGTAAAATAAGAAAGCAACAGCATAACTTTTTGAAGATAATATAGTAACTTTTAAACAGTTTTTAGAGCAATATTGCATTGGTATGCAAAATACTTATTTGTAGCTGCTTTTACATAACCATTTTTTACTTCTAGAGAGAAAAGTTGAGAGGAAATGAACTGAAAAGACAATATCAAATTGGAAGTATAAAAATAATTTTTATCCAACCTTATCCTTCTAATTAAGGAATCGAAAATCGCTTATGCCTGGCGGTTGGACTTCTCCCTTAATCGTCCATTTATTTAACATCTCATTGTGCACCACTGAAGGTGCAATATCAAACTGGCAGTATAAAAATAACTTTTTCAAATCTAACACCGAAATTGAAGAAAAATTAGAGAGCCGCATAGCAAAAGTAGAATTACGGTACCTTTACAGGATTAGAAAAGTCCTGTTTAAAACGTCTGAGCTTTGGGAAAAAAAAAAGGTGTGATTTCAGAAGTACTCTTTACACACTAAGCACCTGCAAACTAATTATTTTATTAATCATTATGCATTACATCTTGACATAAACAATCTAACTAATGCAATAAAACAAGTCATTACTCAGTATTTGAACGGATAAGCTTTATATGTACATAACTGATGCTTTTTCATATACTTTTTTCACTTTTCTGTCTTTTTTCATTTAGCAGGTAGATACATTTACTGCCTCAAATCAAAAAGTTGTTTAGGTTTTAAATATGTACTGAGTGTAATATAAATGTTGGTATATTTGATTCTGTTTATAAATTAATCTATAAAATAAAAAAATTATAAAATTCTCTCTGTTTACCGTTGATAAGTGACAAAAAAAAAAACAGCATAAGAAGTATTAAATTTAACCATTTATAACATACCTTCGGTACAAAACATTTAGATAAAATTAGAATTTATTCGTTAAGGTCTGGAAAGTAACTATATTACTGTAATGGTATGAAACTACTGTGCTCAAGTAATGTCACTTTAAAGATGTTACAAAAATTACTAAAAGTTCCAATAGCATTATAATCGACTTGAAAGGCAGAAAAAGCTTAGCTTTACGCAAGCATTTTCTAAAAATGTACAGTTTGCTCTTGAAATGTAGGAATTGGATGTAAACTTTTTAAGAATGAAAAAGTTATAAATACAAATATGATTTTCTCTTAAGATAGCGACCCAAAGCATAAATCCAGTTTGAAATCCTAGCACCGCCTCGCATAAAACAGCCTTGTTTTTGGCTCCATAGTTTTGAAATCTGAAACAAAAACAATAAGTCGAGGATATATATTGTAGAACACATATTTGGTTGTCAGTTAATATCGCACATATGAGTGTCAGTATCAAGGCAGCAAATAAATTAGCTCAGACATATACACATCAGCGTAAGACGAAATTTTGTGGTAACTACTGGTACAGCCAATGGATATACTGGTCAAGATCTCATGATGAAAAATGCAATCTCAGGAATGCAATCTTTATGAAATGATTCCAGGTACAAAGCTCCGTCCTTGAAGACATACAGCAATTCTATCTAAGAGGTAATAAACAACAGCTACAATTCGTCTCTTTGGTGATGATAAAAAAAAGTTTTTTTTTAATTTTTGTAAAGACGATATTTACAGTTTGAGAAATTTCAGACACTTCTGACCCTTTCTAAGCCGACTTCAAACCCTAAAACGAACGCATTTTAGGACTGTCACAGGAAAGGAGTTTATTAAAATACTATAACAAGCGATCAGTCATTTCTGTCAGAGACCTAGTCTTACAAATATGGAATTTCGTGTACATAAATTTAGTTAGCGCATTGTGTATCAAAATACAGCCAGCTTTGCTGTAAGTCCACGTTTTCCACGCAAATTCAAAATTCTTTTCCAATTTATATAAAGTTTTCGGTGGCAGGCATCAGTGAACTGCACATGAATTTCTCTGGCAAAATACTTTTATGAAGGGAAAATTTAACGGCATTTTCCTCCTCAATTTTATTGAAACTTTTTTGCTAGAAGAGTTCGATTTCAAAAGCTGCTTAGCAAGTGATCAACTAACGATTTTTATTTTAGGATTATTACACGATTTAAAAAAGTTGCTTGATTTTTTTATATTTCTACTTTTTTTGAAATCTGAAAAGTAACTTTTTATAGAATTACTCCATATAAAGGGTTTCTAATGTTACCAATAAGTTGTATACTTTCAACAAAGAATGAAAATGTCGAGTTGCAGGATTCTGGTAGATGCATTTCGACAATGTCGATTTTCTAGCCGTTTACAGTCCCTGCCAAATCTTTTGTCTCAGACTTTTTTGAATTATTTCTTACGCGATGTTTTTGCGAATTACAATGAGGGATTCACGCGTTACCATCAAGGTCAAAAACTTTTAAGATGCAAAAGTTGACGAACGTAGTTGACCAAGGCTAAAAATTATTTTGAACGCCATATATAGATACAAAGAAGCAAAAACCACAGCTTTTTCAGGAAAATACCATGTCTAAGAAAAACTATTTTACGTAGACCTGTATTCATCGCATACCAACAAAGATGACTTGATATAAAACCATTCAAACTTATATACAGAAGATTAGTAATCCCATAAATTGTTCTCGCTGTTGTGACATCATAACTGTAGCCGATCTAAATTGTGTCTTCCGTTATTTTGCCAGCGATAATGATTTAAAAAGTAAGGTGTGATTGCCTCCTAGCTAATTCCATTCCGCTACCAATTTCCGGTCATAACGGTTCGGTGGAGTCAGGAGAAAAGAATCCCGTAGAATTGGCTGGTCTGCTAGTCTTTGTGAAACATCTACTGCGAATAGTAGAACAAGTTAGTAAAATAGACGTATTTTTCAAGATAAAACGTCGACGGTTCTTGCGAAGCAAAATATTGATGAAGTAGTAAAAGTTACAGGCAGAAAGCCATGCAACATGCCAGTAATAATTTGACAGCTCTTATGCATTGCCTCTTAGTAGCGGGTAGATTAGCTTCAGTAAAATAAACAAACTCTATGGTACCAAACAGCTTTCTGCTGAAGAGACCTTTTGTTTGTTGTGCAACTTTCACTAGTTCATTAATATTTTGTTTTGTAAATGTCGTCAAGTTTCTACCTTAAAAAGTATGTTTAATTTACTAGCTTGCTCTTCTATTAGCAATAAATGTTTCACAAAAATTGGCGAGCCAGCCACTTTTGTTGGATTTTTTCCTCAAACTCTGCGGAATCTTTATAGATGAAAATTGTCAGTCGATTGAAGGGAGCTAGAAGACAATCAAACTGTACTTTTTAGGAATTTCCTTCACCAAAAGCTTTAGAAGCTGGTCTTCGCGCCTAATTCCATCCAGAACAGCAAAACCTTCTAGTATGCAGATTTACATGACCGTTACAGTTGTTTTAGCCGATAAGGCACTCTGTACAAAGCAAACGCAACCATAAACCAATCGTGTTGCAATCTGAAATTCCTCATAACAGAATTGAAACTTACTGTACATTATACTGCTTAGTCATTCTGTTATTCTCTAATCTTCGCTCCTTATTTTAATAATCTTTCCTAACTAAGCAATATCGACAGCAAAACACTAACTATCTGAGTGACACTACCTTATTATGACAGTTACAAAAGGTTAAAAATATAGATGCCATCCTTTAAAGTAGTGATCTTTTTATTGAAAAACGCGAGATTCGGTAATAAAAAATACCTTAGATCAGTCATTCCAGTGGCACCAACTGTCAGGTGAATTTACACAAAAAATGAAAAACGATAAGACAGTGATTACTAAGTGAGAAAGCTAAGGAAACAAAGAATGACCAGAAATTGCTGTGTTTTAATGTTTCTGGAACTGATTTTACCGTGATAACCTTTCTACTCCTGACTTTTACAATAACGCCAACGATTTAGACGATTGCTGCAGATAAGCTGTTTTTATTCTTTTTTTTTCTTTCATTCGCTTTCAGTCTATCGACAACATTAGTGTGAAAAAAATTAGCAAAGGTTAGTGGAATTTTAAAATATAACAATGGTAAAAACATTTACTGCGCTGGTAATACTGCTTTACTGGTGCTCAAAAGCAAACTTACTACAGACCGTTCCTAAAAATCTCCTCCTTTTTAACCTTGATATGTCTTAAAAGATGAAGAGTTTTAATTTTGGACGATAAATTTATATTCTTCTTCAAATTCACACATCGTTTTGACAGACTGACTAGGAAAAATATAAGCAGAACCGCATAAATGAAGAACATTTTGTGCTTAGTTTTATTATATTCAATCATTACGGTGTTACTTATATTCGTCAATTTTATCATCAAGTCACTGATGCGGGCTTTGTTTTGTCGAAATTTGTGTAAAGACTGTGAAGGTAATGAAGAAGGTTTTTAACAATAGCTTTCGACATCAGCACTCAGAACTCATCTTTGCGCTCAACTCTCTGAAAGACAGCTCCACAGCATTCGGTTACGGGTAAGAGACAGCCTTCAAAGTGATAACAAGTTTATTTTATGTTCCTTAAATGTATAATTTTTTTAGCTCTGACTAATTTTGTTTTACATCTTTCTACGACTTCTTTTGTGATTTGCAGGTTAAATTTTTTTTAGGTCCAGCTTACAACTAACTTCCAAAAGTATACGAAAAAATAACAAGAGAAGGTCGGAAGACGTGGGTTTTCCACCAATTCCTGGCAAAATGTTACAAAGCTGGTATGTCGGTCATATATGAATAAAGTGAAGGATAAATGTCCACCAAATGCACGCAGATATAATAAACTGCACAACTTTCGCTCATCCTCCCTACCAGAAGTAAAATTTTATATCGGTAAAAAGTCTGGCACATTAGATGTGACAAAGCTTTCTGGTACTCTCTAAATCCGCTCTTTTTGCCCTTTCCAATTACGTTTTGGGTCCGATTTAAACTGCCCGTCAACCAAGCTGGTTCTTCGTTGGATAGGATACTTTGGTTAAACATTAACCTTGCTTCACTCCTGAAAAAACAGTATCTTCAACGTTGGCTGTCATATTTTTCTGCTGTTTCTTCGGACGAACCCGGTTTGTGCGCTCTGTAATTAGGAAATTGTGATCTTGGTGTATGGTTCTGGTCGAAAAAAGTCTGCTACAAGCAGCTACATTTAATGTGACACTAAAGTCTTCATTTCGTTCAGAATTTTTTCGGGAAATTTCCAAAAATTACGCTTGATGTACATTTCAAGAAGGAAAACAATATCCTCAATTTCTGAGCTTAGAAAGCCAAGATTCCTATTGCTAAGGATGAGGTCACCGAAAACTTAACTTTAACAACTGACACCAAGCTTTGGCCGTTTAAAACCACTCAGTTTCCGGTTTCAGGAAGTGAAACAGAAATGCAGAAAGCAGGTTGGACTGAACCCAAATGAACGTCTGGCCCCAGAGAGTCTCCTTGGCGGCTGTTCAGCAGTGACCATAAGTAAGCATTCCATTATTGTTTGCTGTTGCTATTCTAAACCAGTATTTCTTGAAGTGTTGGAAAATAATTGGTATTACTTCCTCTATATCACCTCTTCACAGCCTTGGTTAGAAAGCGCTTATTTGACATATCCAAAATTTTACAACAAATTAGAACTTTCTATTTATTTGTATTCTGCTTTAATTTTTTGTCTGTCCTTAAGTTTCTAATGACTTTAATTTATTCTTTGCTTTTTGTTTACCACTTGAAAACTACAGGTAGAAGAGTTTGAACAAAATTAAACCATAGTTTCTGCAATAAATGAAAATGTCAATGAAGTCAGTCAACTGCGTTGTACCGAAATATTAAGAATATTGGGAATACCGCTGTTTAAATAGCTGAAGAAAACTGCAGATTATGTTGCGGACGTAATCGGAAATGAATGAATTTGGTTTTGAGGCATCTATAATTCGCAATTCTTTGTAGAATAGAAAGACATTTAAAGAAAGTGTGGTAGTAAACGCAGTTATGATTATCAACGCTACAGCGACCAGTTGCAAGGCTGTTTGGTGCGTAGAACGACGCAAGTGATTTTGGGAATGGCAAAATGTACTGTTTGGTGCCCTTAAATGCTTTTTTAAAGCTGGTAGGTTTGAACATTCTAAGTTTGGTCTTGTTTAATTTTTTAAGCCTTTTCCACTTCAGCTCACTGTTTTCCTCGTTATTGTTTGAAGTCATTTTATTGATTGCAAGAAGTTTGCAAAGTGGAATTTTTTGCCGTTGTCGTTTGACTAATTTTTTTTGTAATTATTCTTTGATCACTTCTATTGCTTTAGGATAACTGGTAGTCACGAGGAGGTACAGATCCGAGGAGCTGTCAACGCATTAAAATTTTGTCTCAGGATATATGGAAAAGTGTTCAAAGTCTATAAGCTGTTTCAGAAAATATTTTCCAATATTCGAATGGATTTCATGTTACAAATTAAAACACGTCCCAAATGATGTTATTGCAGGAATAACTGTGGGTATCTACAATGTTCCACAAGGTGAATTTTCTTCTACAACTTACTATATGAATTATTTACTGATATTAATATGAATTGTACTTTTTTACTGTTACAAATGAGCATGGATACGTTTATGTAATGGTAGTTACATAATTATGAGGATTTTTTAAGCAATGGCTTACGCTGTTTTGGCCAGACTTCCTCCAGTAATTGGTTTGTATTCGTCGTTTTTTCCTCCATTACTATATGCCATATTTGGAACTTCATCTCAAATTTCTGTAGGTTGGTTTTAGAAGTGTGAAGGTTGGCCGCATTTACGTTTTCTGTTTCTTCTTTGAATGTTCAGTTGTAGTAAACCCATAGTCTTTTCCATTAGTAACTTTCCGGATTTTACTTTTCGTTTTTACTTTATTTTACTTTTCTAAACTTTTATAAACACTGTGGAGACACTTCTCATTATTATGTTTATATTTGCATAGGCATGTTTTCTGTAACAGCCTTGTTAGTGGGAAGTGTTAATGAAAGATTATCAGTTGTGAACGGCACTGGTGCTTCGCAGTCAGAAATTGATGATGTCCTTGCCGTTAAGGTAACAACAGCTATGGATTTAACTATCGCTCTCGTCTTGGTTTGTATTAACCCTTTCACCTTTTACCTGGAACTTCTCAAAGTATTATTTATGCCCTTTGTATTATCACGTTTTGCTAATGAATAGAGTGAAGAGGATAAAAATAGTTAGAAATATTACATTTTAAATGACTCTTCACTACTTTTGGTCTGAAGTCATAATATTTAGTATGAGTCGTTTTTTTATGTTACCTTAGATAAGTGCATATCATTTGCTGTTTAGGGACTGATGTACTTTCTTCGGTTACATTTTATTGTTGCTTATATGTCAAATGAGCTTGTTAGTGGATACACAGTTGGTGCTGCATGTCAGGTCATCGGTACGCAACTACCAAAAATATTTGGATTAAAAATTCCTCGACATGCTGGTTTCCTAAAACTATTCAATGTATGGTCACTTCTTGATTTTCTTTCGAAAGCCCTTTAATAAAAGATTCATCGTCAAAGATACCCTCTTTTCATATTTCTTGTGGTGAAGTCTTTAAAACATAATCTTGAACTTTTTCGGTGTTAAAAGATACAGCGGTTTCTTTGAATTCGACTAACCTTCCCGATTTGATTACGTCTGCAGCTTGCATTCTGACTCTGCACATCGGAAAGTGGTACATCAATCCGCGTGTTACCGCAAAGAGCGGGCTAACAGTACCTTTCGAGCTAATTGTTGTAAGTTCGTGATTATACCTCATCGAACAAGTTTATTTAATTTTTGATTATTAAAATCCTTCTTTGGTTTCTGGCACTAAAAACTTATGATCATATCGACGTCTCACGACAGTGAAATTTGAGGTTTTAGATTATTGTTACTACTGTTCTTTCAAAAACGTTGGATGCTCATGGACGGTATAAGATGGATATTGTGTCCAATATTCCTTCTGGGTAAATACTTTTTGATATGTTGTATAAGTAATTGACACTTCTGTTATAATTATAGTGTATTTGATAATACCTTTTCAAGGTTTCCTGTGCCATCAGTTCCAGAAGTAACATTGATGCCTAAACTGATATTTGATTCTATTATAACCGCTATAATCATATTTGCAATAACAATATCAATTTGTAAAGTTGTTTGCGAAAATCACAGTGGCGTCAGTGCTAGACAAGTAAGAATTTTTTACAGTTTTTTCTAAGAATTGTACTTAAGTGATATTTTTTTACAATTGCTGTATTTAGAAGTTTTAAATCAGTGTTTGTATATAATTTCAGGAACTTTTTGCTTTAACAACAGTTGAACTGATTAGTAGCTTTTTCTCATGCCATCCTGCATGCGGAAGTTTAACCCGAACTGTTATTAACTGTCACTGTGGGGCGAAGTCTCAGGTAGCTGCTGCATCTTAGTGTATCATACAGGAACCTTATAAGGTTCTTTTTCACCAAATTTGTCAGCTTTTTGAGCGGCGCCTCTTTTAAGCTTTCAAGTATAGTCTCGGCAGGTGTGATGGCTCTAGCAATCCTTTGGATGGCACAGTTATTAAAATGGTTACCAAAGGTTCGCAATTGATCGATTTCTACAAGCAGCTTCTGAGTTTTTTTTTTTCTGAATATTCCTCTTTCCCATTGCCACTTTACGGCAAAAAAAATGTGTTCGTTTTATGCTGACCTATTTATTTGACCACTTAATAATGTCTTTTCTTCATATCTGCACTAACAACGTTTAAAGTTTTAAATTAACTTTTCTGAATGTTTTCCTTAAGTGTGTTTTGTCAGCAATTATTGTTGTGGCTCTTCAAACTATGTTTTTACATGTCAAGCAAATCAGGCATTTGTGGAAGGTGTCGAAAGTCGATCTGGTAGGTGTAACATTTTGAAAAATAGAAGAAACTTACAAAATTAATTTGTTTAGAACTTTTCTCAACAGCGTTTCTCACTCCCGGTTAGTTATGACCATATTTTCAAAGAGAATTAGATAAGGTGGCTAGTCTATATGAGCCGTTTTGAGCAGTGGTGAGAAAAATGACCTAAATCGCGGAAGGTATAATATTTTTACTACTAGGCTATATGGCTAGTAGGATGTTTCGCTACTGTCATTTGGGATGTCAGTCAGGGCCTTGGGATCGCCGTTGGTTTTGCTTTAATCACAGTAGTCCTGCGTTCACAGTGGTATATTAGTTTGATAACATTTTAATGCTAATATTCTTTATTTTTGATTTGGTAGAGCTAAAATCTTTGCAGATTTCGAAGTGGCTAGTAACTAAGAGATTTTCTTACCCAGCTTTTTTTAGGCCAACGACACTACGACTTCAGAAAGTAGACAGCTCTTTTTTCGGTGCAAATTTCAATTCTAATGGGTATGTTCGGCTTTGATAATCTGTTTTAGCGCAGTGAAGGCTTCAAGTCAGTAACGAAATTCAGGTCAGACGAAGACAAGCCGGGCGTGGAAAGTGCCATGCTTTATCGCTTTGATGCCCCACTTCTGTTTTTAAATGTTGACTACTTTAAAAAGGAAGTTACTCGTCTAACAGAATTTTCAAGGAACTCATTTGGAACGGTAAGTGCAAGACACCATATTTTTCTCACAGTCTAATAGGCTTTTTTGAAAATGGAGTGTTTATAGTGCCGATATCATGACGTGATTGCATACCAACATTAGAAATAATGTATCTTAGCATTTTATCCCTCTACTCAGTTTACTATTCACGTTAATAGATAGCTGTCATTAGCGAATTGTAGGCTAAAAAAGAGCAGAACTTACAGGGTCTGGGAGACGCAGGAAATGGAAAAAATGATAATGTGGACTTGCGGTACCTCATCCTGGATGCTTCAGGATTTTCAGACATTGATTACCAGGGTGTTTTGTGCCTTGAAGAGGTTTCCAAAGAACTGCAAAAGAAGCAAGTTGAACTGCTTATCGCAAATGCAAAAGGTTAATGTTTATCATTTACCGCGAATAGTTTTGATGAAATGGTCAAACTGAATTTTTGAATGAAACATGTGAGATTTCCGCCATCTTACTATATCATTTGAAGTTTCAAACGTTATGTTTCTCGAAGTAGTTTAACACTTATTGTCGTAACCTTTTTATCCACCTGTATCTTCTCATAAAAACGAAGGGGTTTTCAAAGCAGAGATCATCTTACGTCACATACTCTTCTTACTAAAAGGCGGATTCACGGAGCTTGTTTCGAAGAGGCGTTGCTGAAACGCGGAATTCTTCTTGTAAATTGTTTAGCATTGCCTCAGTTAACTGTATGCAGATTTTTTCCACGGTTTTCTTGATAGGTGCTGTGTTGCTCGAGTAAGTTTTGTGAACGAGTACTTCATATTGTAGTTACTGTAGGAAGTGCATCATCGGCTGTTTGAAATGAGACTAAGATGCCGTTTTTCAAAGAGACAGGCTTTTCTGCAAAGTTTGTTTTTATTAGAGAATTTTTAATAATATTTGATACTAAATTTATTTTTTGGTGGGCCAAAAGTGTTGTAGATTTCAAGACTTTGATGAGAAGACTCGTAGGTCTCTTCTGCCATTATGGTTTTGCTCCCTAATGTCTTCGAGAAGCTATCCATACTCATAACGACTGTTCCACTTCTGAGGTCATGGTTAAGATTTTTGCTTACACCTGAAGACTCACAAATCGGACTTGCTATTTGTCGTTCATGGATACAGCAGTGTGTAAATCGTTTAATGAAGGCTTTCCTTGGCCCAAAATATTTTTTTGAAATTTTTGAGATGTCCTCTGACTTCATCTGAGCAGTACACCATCTTTAAAACAACATTATTTTCAGAGGTGTTTTCTCTCACGTTCCTTTAACTTATCGCGCTTACATACATTTGGGAATTTTGCAATTATCGATTAAACAGTTTTCATAAGCTTGTCAGAGTCCCATATCTACTGCTATGTGGAAACGCTTAGTAGTTTTTAGAATTCGCTCATTTTTTCTTCATAATATAGTGGTAACCGATTTCGATTTCACAGTGTTATAGTTTTCAAGCGTCGTCAAGCCAGAGAAATACTAGATAAATGACAATAGGTCCAGACAACCTTTAAAGCGTTTATAATGGAACAGGGGATAGTTGTTAGTGGTGCATTTAGGAGGAAGCACGCTACAAACCTTTATTAAGACAGCAAGGCTCACTGATCCCCTGATAGCTAGGAGATCGTTTATCTACAGTTACAAGCATTGGGTATAGCCATTCAAGGCACCCCTATTGTATCGTGTGGCGCGGCTGTTACATCATGCGACCTTCGCTGATCTTGTAGCTTTTCCACCTGCTGGGCCAAATTATTATATCCCTGAACAGCGTGAATGTGAAGCTGTATGATCAAGTGAGCAAGAGGTAGACATTTTTTTTTTGAGAAACGCGAATCTTAGTAGTTCCAAGTCTCATTATTTATTTTCTTAAACGTTTGTTTGGGGTTTTAAGGATTTTTATTCTTTACTGCATCTTGTATTTATTAAAAGAAGTAAAGAAATCAGCTTTACAGGTTTTCATTGAAGCTTTTGGTCAAGTTCCTTTGCTGTAGTTCTTACTGCTTATGGTGAAATGTTAAAGAAAATCACGAAGTCCTAGAGCTATGGATACTGGGTAATACACTTCTGAAAGTGTGGTGCAGTTTTTTGAATTCAGACGTTAAGATTTCGAGAGTTTTAGTAGTTGCAACTAGTATAGTAGAAGCATGATATCAATCGTTGCGGTTGATTCATTAGTGACAGACGAAGTTGTCCAGGCACAAGTTTTGCAAATGACGGAAAGAGGATTCAAATGGTATAAGCGATCTTAATCACCAGTCTTGTTTGTGCAACTCTTGATTCACTTCAGATTTTGATGGATTCTAATTTGTTGACACCATCTACTAATTAAACTCTTTGAGCTAAATGTTTTAGAAGCAGAAAAAATTACGGTGGCTTTTTGGTGAAAAGAACCCGCTTTATGGCAAAAATAAAGTATCAATTACTTATGATATGTACCAAAAATTTATTCTTCTCAATATGGTGAATAAAATAATTGTGGCTATTATTGACGTACTTTCGGAAGACATAACTTTTTTTTCAGCTCATGTGCTAAGAAGGATTCGACTCTGTAGTGCCGACGAATCAATTCCAAGGAAGAATCTGTTTTCATCTGTTCGGGAGGCATTTGATTATGTGACGGGTAGTGTTTCAACATCACTTGAGCAACAGCATGAAACAGATGACAGCTGATGTTGATGGGATGGATGTGCTATATTTTCAAGATATTCTCCTATCGTGCGCAAAACTGTAACGTTAGTGATACCTGCATTACAAAACAGTACAAGTTAAAGCTTTAACTTTTTATTTTCCGCAGGTAATAACAGACTTTTACAGATCTGATTCAATATCAATCATATATTCGCTAATATAAAATTCGAGTGGAAGGTGCCTTGGAATTTTAATCGACATCCAAAGGGAAAAAAAATTTGGTCTGAAGAATTGCTACCACATTAGTGTATTTCATTGTCTGTCTTATATCTTGGCCTAAAGCTGTCCACACGGCATATATAAGTCTAACCATTTCTGGTTTTCAGTGCATGTCAAAGCAAACACGCAAATAGTATATGATGAAAACAAATTTTTGCTAATCTTTCTTTAATTCATTGAAATTCCGCACAGGAGTCTGTTGCTGGCTTTAAAGTGTCATCTTTTCGAGATTCTTCGTTAAACACTACCCTCAATGTAACTTTCAAAATCTTGACGGCTAATGCAGCGATAAGTGATTATGGACGCAACCTACAGCGAAAACTTCCATAGAACGGAGTTATTCTCCCGCAAAATTTATAACTGTCAGTTAGTATGTGCACGTGGTTGCCGCACTGTCGATTTTTATAAGCTTTCATAAGTACAAAACTAGACTTACCTATAGCGAAGCACTGATGTGTTAAAAAACAAACACGAACACTCAGATACCAAATTTTCTGGGACAAATTTAGGTAGAAAGTATCACAGCGAAACAAAGACTGAACCTGGAATTTTCCAATACAAAAGTGAGCACAGAGGGAAAAATAAAAATTGTGGAACCTCGCAAAGCAAACAATTTGAAAAATAAGTGCCTAAAATTTGGCAGGTGGTTTCACCTCCTGATTCAAAGCAGTCATTATTTACATAAAAGTAGATTAGTGAGTAGTGTTGCTGTTATCCTGGCAAGGGACACGTGCGACGCTTTTTGGCTTCTATTTTAATGTACTGTTGCAGCAGTAGAGTTGTCAAAACGCCAAGTATTTGCTGGCTGACAGTATGTCTATGTCCTGTACCAATACGGATGTCAACCGTGCCTGTCAGCAGCGGCAGCAATTTGTTTCCTCTTTTTTTTTTCCTTTGAAGTCGCACCATGGATACCGAAAAGTCATCGGAGTTTGAATTTTATACTCAATATGGTTTTGTAATTTTTACACCTGTTTCTGGTCTTACTCAGTTGTTTGATGGTTTGGTTGTACAGTGACGTTGAGCTAGTCGCCACTAAACCTTCTACAGTTATATCAATAAAGTTGTTAAACGAAAACTGACGACATTCCATAAAGTATGTATGGATGGTGGTATCAACAAATTGCGAAGTTTAAAGTCATGAAGTTTAAAGTTTTCTAGTTTGTCTGACAGGTATTTCAAATATCTTATCAGGGCAAGTAAAAGATGGAAAAAGGGAGAAGAACGGGAATAATGAAGTTTCAAATCAGAACAGGTTGACTTGCTGCTGCATAACAAAGTGGCACAAAGTGATTTGACAACGAGGGGAACTTCCAGCCGCAATTTCATACTATAGTCAACAATTTTTGCTTCTGTTTTATCTGCGTTTACTTGTCTTTTTCTGATAGATCGTACTTAACATGAAATAAGTTATCACAATCGCCAATCGGTAAACTGGAGGCACTAGTGATTTGTTTATAATTGCTTGTCATCATTTCTTTATGGAATTTGTTGCAGCTTATTTTGTGGTTTTCTAAATGCCTGTAAAAGAGGCTGTCTATGCTTCAAATACACGGACGGATGGGGCAAATCCGATCAAAAAGAAAATTGAGACATTGGTTTCAAGTAAGCTGCAGACCAATCAGGTAGCTTTTGTTACAATCACTTGGGCTTTTGAGTGTTTGACATATAAAGTCAACTTTCTAAACACTTCCGTAAGAAGACATTTTGATGTCTTATCATTTGTGGGTCTTGAAATTATTTTCGTTTTGAATTCAAAGGTTAAAGTTGTTTAAATAAATAGTCTCGACACTGTAATCTCTTCTTAGGAATTTATAAAGATGATGGATTATGTGGCACCACTCGTTGGTGAAATTAATGTTCATACTGAAAGAAAACTTCGTCAAGAGCTAGAAGAGAAGAAGTTAAAAGCCAGCAGAGAATACTTAGAAACGTTTGGCAAGGCTAGTAATTCTAGCTTTCCTTTTCTTTTCTTTTTAACTTTTTGACTTTCGTTTGTTACAGAAGGTCTTTGCTATATTATTAGAGAAAAGAATTTTACCTTTTTTCAAGTAATCTTATTAAGTTGGTTGAGTAAGGGTGCAGCATATTTGCGTGTCATTTCCTTTCTTGCTTCAGATGAGGCATGTTGTAAAGTACTAAAATTGAAGCTTTATCCATAACAAGTTTTCTCTTTTACCTCATTCGCCTTTTCAGTTTTATTCGATTATTTTGTAATTGTCATAATAATTTTTTTTTATTTTTGATTGGTGTTAACAGTATTATAACAGCGGCAGTAACATTTTTTTCTTCTTTCATTTTGAGAGAAAAGCATATTTGTAACTAGATTCTCAAATAACTTGACATCTTAAAAGTTTTGGATAATTATGAGAAGAGAAGACTTCCACAACAATTTGTGGCTCAGTGGAAAGTTCGGAGAGTTTCTGAGTCTTCCATCGGTTGTAGCTTTTGCTCTCAAACTTCTACGAAAGCCTATATTAATTAAGCATGTCGATTTCAAGCTTAACTGGGAGTGTTACTGGATGCGGAATTAGAAATTGGGTCGCTTTATAAAATTATCTATAAAGTCTGAGTCGTAACTGAGGAAATACCGTTTTAGGTCAATGTGCGAGTCCAGAACTTCGCTGCTAAGGTCAGATCTTTGAACGCTATTTGTCGAGATATGACCAATAAAATTCAGGCGAATAAAGCCAAAACTCAAGATCTTTTAGCCAAGACGGCTGCACTTCAAAATGAAAAGTTCGTTTTTTTCATTTTTTTAGAAATTGATGTCGCATCTTTAATGGCCTTTGTTCAAAATGTTTTTACTTTTTAGGAAAGCCTTAGAAGAAAGAGAAACAGTTATAAGCGAATTTTTGGAAAAGTTTTCGCTCACTCCTGAAGAAGAGGCTGCTTTGCAAGGATCTCCAGTCAGTTAGTGCCGTTGTTATCTTGAAATTTGTGTTTTTAATTCTACATAACTGGATTGTGTTATCGCTCAACAGTTTAAAATTTAGATTCACTATTTTCTTTAGGAAGCGATATATTTTTGTTTCGGTTTGTTAATACGAAGTTGCTTTATATTCTTTCAGACGGCACAGTTGATTCTAAGTTTTTTCTGGCTCTTGAACGTGTCAAGCAGATCCACGCTAGTAGTAAAGAATTGCTACGGTCTTCAGGAGAGCACTTGGCTGCGTCAGTACCTATTTAGAACTGCAATCATTATACTTACTTTTATTTGTTATAGAACATGTTTCATGTCCAGTGAACTGTAAAGCAATTTTTGTAGCTTAGAAATTATGGAAGAAATGGCTGGCAAACTGGAAAAGGCGTATGAAGTATTATACCGTTCAGTTCAGCGTGAGTTACTGGTGACAAAAAATAACTTGTTTGGTTGAAGAACAGTACCATCTATTTTCTTTTTTGTCACGAAAATGTTGCGTTTATTATTATTTTTCTATTGCAGGCGAATGTCGGCTTCTAAATGTTGACTTCTTGGAACTGAAAGGTGTATTGGTGCAATCAATCGCTGCGATGTATGACCGAGAAGTTTTGTTTAAGTATGCGCTGGATGAGTATATAACAGCGCGGAGAAATCATATTGTGAGGGCATACATTGATGCGTTAGTTAGAGGAGGTCATTTTTTTCAAAGCGTTGGACTTTTAATAGCTATTGATCAATCAGGAGATAGAATATTTTTTTAAGCAGTAGAAGTAACATTTTTTATCTTACAGTTGCCGGAGTTGTTCTCTTTATGAATCATTTTTTTGCCTTTTTAGGTGTAGGAGGGTCGCCAAAACCAATCGAAGTGCTGTCTCATGATCCGTTAAGATATGTTGGTGATATGTTGGCTTGGATTCACCAAGCTATGGCAACGGAACGTGAACTTCTGCAGACTCTTTTAAAATTGTGCCCCCCAGAAGGTTTGTTTTTTCTATCACTGGTCTCCATGTGCTTTTTGTTAATTATCTGTTTTCAGCTGCTAGGAATAATTGTTCCTTGGTTCTTAGTCAAATTTCGGAAGCTTTATGTCGTCCATTCAAGGTAAATATGTTTTTTTAGAATGAATTCTTCAGTGTTATTTCTTTTTTTGACCACCTGTTTATTAAAATATTAGATTTTTCTCGCATGTTCTATTCGGGATCCTTCTAGTTTTTAATATGATTTGGATATTTGTTACCTTATCGTTTAAAGTTTTTGCCTTACAACTTGGGTGTCATGATAACTGTTTTGAAGGTCCGAGTGGAGCAGGCATTGTCCAACGAGTCAAACTGCGTTGTGCTTTACCGTCTTTCGTGTCTTTTTACATTTTATGAGGAAACCATGGGGTGATTTTTTTTGTCATCGGATTATCATTTTCTCATCGAAGTGATGCTTTCTTTGGTTAGTGTGAATCAGTTATTTTAGGCCTTCGCTGACTGAGGGAGCTCTTCTTTTGCAAACTATTGTTGAACTGAAGGATTTGACGTTGAACATGTTTTTCAGCGCTTTGAATTCTTCTGTACAAAAGCTGCTTAGTAAAGTTGGTTTTGATTTCAATATTTCTTATGAACTTTAGATACATATATTTTTAAGTTTGCGTTACGTGTGAAATTATTTAGTTGCTGTGATGTTGGTTGCTTGCATTGCACAAATGCTTTTTGCAGGTTTCTGTGTCCACCACACCTTTTGGGCTTTTTTTGAAATCTGCCACAAATGACAAAAATATATTTAACGTCTAATTTTGATGAGCTTGTTTAAATATTATGAAACGTACCCTTAATGCAATCCATATTTTTTTTCAGATTCGAAACATAGAATTTCACTTGAGTTTGTGTGAAGTTTTGTTTGGGGTTTTAAGGAAGAAGAATTTGGGTATTGAGTAAGCGCTGATAATACTGTGCTAATAATTCTTTATTTGTTTTCAAGATGGGAACCCCTGACTACGACCTTTTACCTGTTCAAGCAGTTCATCAAGTTCTTCTGCTTTTGAGAGAAGTTTTAGAATCGCATGATGGTGCAGTAGCCGCTGTTGCAGATAAAAAGGAAAATTTCCTCAAGGTGCACGGCTGTTTAATCTATCGTTCAAGTCAATTTCAAAGAGTTTAAAATTTTTCTGAAGTGTTCATTTTCCTCTTTCTATCTGTTTTGGCTTCTTTAGGTATTTGCTTCAGTGTTAGATCCTCTGAACCAAGCTGTGCAGATATCTGCTACTCAGCTGCATTCTCCGATTGATGTCGCTGTGTATACTTTGAACTGCCTTTCGGCTATCAATTCAGTCATTATACTTTACCAATACACTGACAAACGTTTAGAGATGATCAAAGCACAGGTACATTGATAAAAACTTTCTGAAGTTAAGATAGGAGGATTCCGTGTGAGTGCACTTCCAGATGGAAGCGAATGAGGACGTCCTTGTAAGTGAACAGGCTACAGTTATTCTAAATCAAACCGGGCTCATTGAAACTTACTCTAAAGCTGCTGCGCACCAACCAAACCAGGTAATTTAGGATTTTATCGAAGACTAATGTTCAGCTCACCGCTTTTGGGGGCTTTTTTCAGGGGGCTCTTTCTGAAATACAAGGTATGGAGCCGTCTAGAATCGCTGAAGCTCTCAACTCATTTGATAATTTCTTATCAAATCCAGATGATTATCGTTTGGATCAGTGCGCCAAAGTGTCGTCGGTTCGTGCACGGTAAGTAATTTATAAACAACTTTCCTACTTCAAATACGAAATTAAGAACCGCTTCTTCAGTGATTCTATACAACAACGCACAATTGACAACGTCATCGCAGCATACAATGTAATTTACAAGAAGATAGTTGATCCTGAAAACAAGTATACAACGATTTCAGCGAAGACTGTTGAGCAGGTTTTTTTTATTTGAGGTTTTTCGAGAAATCTAGTCTTTTCTTGAAGTGGAGGTTTGTGAGTGCATTTCGAAACCATTTGCTTTACATCACTTTGCCAGTTCTGTGTTTTCCTATCACTATCGTCTTAAAAAAATGGGACCATCAGATGACCATTAAATGGGACCATTAAAGAATCACTTCTTTTAGGTTGAGGACCTATTAAAAGAGTGGAAGTAAGTGTCTAATTTGGTAACACTGAATCCCCTTCCACACCAAAGACAAGTAGTTCAAAAATTGACGGAATTAGCAACATCCTTATTTGCTTGCCTTCAGATACGCTCATTTTATCTACAAAACTCACTTTCTTTTAATATTGTCCTTGGTTTCTTTCATGGTTTTGAATCTGTCCCTCTTTTTTAAACACATTGTTTTCTTGGGCAATTGATGTAGTTTCTCTTCTGTTTTCCATCTTTTCCCTGACATAATTATCCCAAAGATATTCTGGTAAATATTGTAATTAAAGGTCTTCCACCATTCTTTTTTTTAAAAATTTTCTCGACATTTCCCTCCACAGATGTCTCCAAAACTTTGCCCGGTAGAAGAGTTCTAATTTCTTTGAACTCAATTAATAATTATATAACATTTTTCCTATACATTTTGGATTCAACCTCAGGACTAATCATGGTTTCTGTTCAGCTTCGCTAAATTCATCTTCCACGATTTCGCTGGACTTGTAATTACATTGCAGTATATATTAACTTAATTATCCACTATCGGTGCAATCTGTCAGTACCCAACATTTCGCAATATGTAAAGTATCAAATTTGAGCTCGCAAGATACAGTGCAGTTCTCAAAACTTCATACCATAACATGTATCGTTTCTTCCTCTAACGACCTGTCTTTCATACCGTTCCTTCCTTCTACTTTTTCTCATACCACACCGAAACAATTTTAATACAAATCAAAAAAGTTTACTTTTTTTCCTCAAAGAATAACAGTTAGGGGGAGTTAAGATTAAACACACGCTACATGCACCAATTAATTCACTATTCGAATTCTTCAACTCTTTGAAACGGATCCATCCATAAGTGCTAATTCGTTAAACCGATTAAAATCTATCACCTGTGATAAATAATACCATTCATCGTTCATCCTACACAGTACAGGCTACAAATAACATATCATCACATCCAATTCATCACCGACCACTACTCCAGTACCATACTCATTTACAAACACTTCACGTCTACATCAGTAAAAGCCAACTACAAAGCACTACACCTCACACGATCAGCAAGTCCCCTATAACAAATGTGCCGGTTCTATGGTACTCCTAGCAATAAAAAAAATAAAACATCGTCCTCCCCACAAAACAACATCCACCTTAGAACAGCCAATTCTCCAAAACGTTATCCATCAGAGACCGCCATCGCAAAACTCATCACAACCAACGACCAAGAACATTCAAATTCTCAATAACTAAATAATGCAAATTTGACGGATAGTTGTATT